TTCAATGTAACGTGCATCTAATAATGAGTTACGTGCAGTCAATCATCATTCTGTCGCATCGAGACAGGTCGATGGAGAATTAGCGAGAATGCAGTGTGCAGAGGATACCAGCCATTGAATGCCGCAAAACGCCGAGTAAAATGCAAAGATACCGAGTAAGATGCAAAGAAACAAAAATCAAACAACTTTGTGCGTATATTTTCTAATAGATTTTATTCATATGCTTATATTATAATTGTATCACTGTGTACAACAATGTTAATTTAAATATCTCAATTGTATGCTCCATTTTTTTTTTGTGGACTTTCATCTTAATAATTCTTTTATATTAAAAAATTTTAATACGCAGAACAATTTTTCCTTCTCATTCTACGTAAAGTTAGTTGTATTCAATTCATTTATGAATAATTGCGTATGCATAAATATATATATATGTATATATGTATACGCATTATAAATACATACATATATATCGCACGCGCGTCCACACATACATGCATACGTGTCGCGAAAATTGTCACACATACATACATGATCGTACATATATGTATGCAGGAGCACGCGCCTACTCTCTTCGTTTTTAGCGTATCGATACTCATGATTTATTACAATAACAGTAATAATAATCGTTATGGTGGCGGAAATGACGATTATAAAACATTGACTACAAAAAAAAATCATCAAACTGCCGTCTTTCCTTTTTTTTTTACTGCATTTTTTTCATATAGTATAATATAATAATTAATGTAATATTATATAATAATAGGAGTAATGTGTAAATAAAGGTCACATAAATGGTACAATATAGGCTGAACTTAAAGATGAATGATACAAGAGTGGCAAACTCTTACAAACTGTTTAATGTTAAAGTCGTAGTTAGCGCAACACTGAGATCGGTGGCAAGAGACTCCTGCTCGATGTTCATCGTGTATACTACATCAAATCAGCGACGATGACAGATACATGGAAAATTATGGATTACGGTATCGCAAGATGGAACCATTTTTTTGTCTGGCTGATGTGCTCTCAAACAATTCGTGATCGCAACAATCGTGAAATCACAGCATTGAAATTTATCGATGGAATGTGATTGACAACCTTGCTAAGCCCATTCGATGATAAATGAAAGTAATAAATGAAACAACGAGGAGGAGTACCAGCGTATCTTAATTTATATAATATAGTTAACTGGACCACCATATATGAGCCAACCGCGACTCTCGAAGAATTAACGCCTATTTTTCACTCGTTTAACTTTGTGTATGCACTTAGAAAAGTTTCGCGCGTCGTGTATGTCGTTTTTTTTTTCTTTCTCCATAAATGTAACTTACAACTATTTATTAATATTTTATGATATATTAGTTTTCACTATGTACAAAACACGTATGACCGTGTTTATCGTTACTAATAAACTCGCGATACGCAGAAAACAGACGGAACGCTTATTACATACGAGTCTGGAGAGGAAGATAATTGGCGAAATTAAATAAACGGTGTGGTGTTATCTTCTGAATATAACAAAATATTTAGAATCCTTAAATCTGTGCCCTTGCATATAACGCAAGCAGGAATAATCCATAGCAGGAAGAGTGACGTTTTCAGTCTAAATGACAATGCGAAAAAAAATTTAGACGCGTGCTTGCATATAGAGAATAACTGCTACAAAAATTTTGGAAGGCAATATGAATATCATTTATAAAATGCCCTATACCTCGTATTACAAGCTAATGCTGATTGTATCTTAATAGATGCATAGTATCTAATTCAGCACATGCTGTCAAAATTTGTTCTCTCATAGTCTAGCTAATTCTTCTGATTTCTCTAGTCACTTTCAGTATCTTGGGAAACATAAAGTGGTAATATTAACCTGCCCGACGTTTCTCGCACCTACTTTTAAATGCTTAGAATTTCATATCAATAATTTTCTTAGATATCGACGAACACTTTTTTTCCGACCAATTATGGCTTGTTTGTATCGAGTTATCGTAATAATTAATTGTCCAAACTCTTATCTCCTTTTCTCATTTTGTCGGGGCAGTAAGTACGTTGCTCTCTAAGTGTATGATTCATGATACTATTTAATTGTACTCGAGTGCAAATTCGATTATCCTTAATGCTCATATTATGACATGTTCAATTACAAGGATTGCTCTTACTTTGAGAGCATCCTAGAGCGTCATTATCGGTTACGTTCGCAATAAATTCTTATGTATACATCTTGCTACATACAAGAACTAAATTTACACGATATCTCAATAAAAAAAAAAAAGTAATTATGGAGCAGACATTTACACATAGAAATATAAAAACAAAACATTATTAAAATTAATTCTGTTTAAATTCGTATAAAAGATTTCCTAAAAAAAACATTTTGACAGGACACGCGCAAGTTAAAAATAATATTACTTCGAAAATAATGACAATATTTGTTATATGGAAAAATTCGTGGTATTTACAACACATATAAAATTCTATTGCGATGAGAAACAAAGTGTATGCTTAACAGGAATAGTTACTACTTTATATAGGCATGTAAAACCATACCAATTTGTAATCATTTGTCATTGGAATAATGATATCAATTTTATATAGCAAGAAGACAATATTTCCAACGTTTCTTTTAATCAATTGAGCGATGAGAAAACTGACAATGGTTACCGATGAAGAACTAGTGGTAAATAGGATGAAACGACGATTAGCAAAGCTTAGCGGAGTGCAAACAATGTGTTTGGAGGCTAGGGCGCCTTGTGTATATATGTATATACATATTATGTATATAATATCGTAAACCATCTCCTTAACTTGTTTCCCTTCCTGTTCCTTTCCTGTTTTGTTTTTCTTCATGTGTAATCAATTTTTTAATCCCTTTCCGTCTCTGTCATTTCTCGGTCTTACCTTCTACTCCTTTATATATTAACTTTGTATGTGTATGTATATATATATGTTCAAAGTCATTAATTTTAATTTTACGAAGAAAATAACGAGATCTGTTTATAACTCAGATGTAACTCCGCAGTAACATATTTTATTGGAGATTCACAATAATTACTTTATTCAAATCTATGCATTCAGAATAAGTCAATAAGGAAGATTTGTATCAGTTTTCGCTCGTCTCACACAAGCAACGTAACATTGTATATTATCAGATTCGGCTCGTAACATTTTAATAATTGACCTCTTAAAGGAAGCACATATTTGGCTATAATAAGCTAAGATTGAAATGGAAATAGTCAACCTGAGATAGGATTAACTTTCTTCATAGTAAGAAGAGAGAGAGAGAGAGAGAGAGAGAGAGAGAGAGAAAATCTCTTTAGAACTTTTTTTGCAGAGACAAGAGCGTAGCTTACTAATAAAATATAACGCGCAACATTTCTTCAACTATGCTAAATCTTAAAATGTACTGATTTGCAAATCTAGCCACCAATACACATTGTCTGCAATATCTCCCGTGTGTATCGCTATGATCACTGCCTGATTAAATCTCTTTACACTCTTTACTTCGACCGGTATCATTACAGTCCGCATAGTTTAAAACGTGAGGGAATGACCGTTTATAGGAGCATAATAAACGCACTTCTCATGTCAACCAGATAATATTATGTATTATACCCATTTTTTAATTTGTGATACCTGTTATATCATTGTTCTAGATTCTGAGAAATGATACGGCAAATGAATGAATCAATGCGAGAAAACAAACTTAATGATTTGAAAACACAGTGATACAAATAATGGTTATCATTTAATGCAAATAAATAATAAGTTTGCAAGAATTAATATATTGCATTATTTTTCGGATTACACGAGGCAATATATTTATCGGGGAAAGCTACGGTAGTTTTTGTAACTTATACAAGGTACTAAAATATTGATACTACAGTCACGGCAACAATACACCTGGCTTGAGTGCATGGTCGCTGATTGCAGGATAAGATTTTTTCAGACATTTTACTAACCTTAGGAGCAATGACTTTCTTACGAAGCCAAAGGCGGGACTGCAGTGAAAAATTCAGTAACCTTGATTAGCAAAAACTATACTTGACTTTCGAGCAACAGAATGTATTGTCAACACCGATAGGATAAGAGAAAATAATTATATTGTTCGGAATATCAATAATATAATTCGTGAAACAAGCTGGCATATGGTATCCTCTAAACACAGTCTGCACTCCACTAGCTCACCTTTGTTCTTACCATTGCGTATGTCTCGTAAATTAAATAAAAATTTTTTAACTGCGTCAAGTTTCAATTCTTATGCGGGATTGCATATCTGCGACACTTGTACAATCAAAAATGTACAAATTTACGTAGATATAGCAAATCTTGTTTTACAGCTCGTTTATAAAATGAAACTTGACACCACATTCATATTTGCATTAATATAACGCAGCACTTAAGCTACATGAATAACGCCGTCCTAATAAATACAGTAATTAATAAGCACGATTCAGGAGCTTAAGAAGATATTTGCGTTAAAATCCCATTTGAAAAAATTATTTATATCTAATTTGTAACTTCCTTGCATTTCCACTTCCTAGCAAATATTAATAATGATGACATTAACGTTTTTCAATTGTTTCATTTGCCGATAGAAAATTGATTAGGCACAGAATTCATAATATTTTTTGAAGTTCTTAATCACCAAATCATGAGACATTGCAAATTTTCAAATAAATTGTTAAATTATAGCACAACAGAAATAAAATACATTAAAGATTTAAAACATTTATTGCATATTGTTGCAATTATTATTTAATATTCTAAAGAATGTAATTATACAATTTTAAATAATATTAAAAACAAATTTTTAACAGAAAAATATTTCAATGTTGTTTAAAATATTAGTAGGTGATATATTTTTTCAAATTTATAATTTGATTAATTTGTACATTAATAAAAAATTATATAAAACTTTTAATATATCATAAAGTATAATTACAATAATAATAATTATTGTATTGTATTGTATGAATATTGCTAAGAAATTACATTAATTGAGACGAATATTATTCTATTGTTTTATGCATTTACAGAATTAAATGCCACATGAAATGGTGAGTCATTTTTAAACTATAAACGTCACGTCTACAATTCTGTCACTATTTTTGTTAATAGAGAATTTATTATCATATTAAATCGATAATGGCATTGATACTGAACACAAAAAGAAAAGGTATGAAAAAGTAAAGATTTTAAAAATGTAAAAATATCTTTGCCTTATAGGCAACCCTGTTATACTTGGCGATGAGAAAGAGAGAGCACATTAACAATCTAAATCCATCTCTGTATTTTGTGTTTGTAAAAAATGTATTGTCTTTTTAAAAACTCGGGCGTAAAACGTGAGTATGAAAATCTGTGCTTTATAATACGTCTGTTAGGAAGTAACAAATCTTTTTGCAAAGAA